GAGACAGGAATTCTTCTATCTTATACTCTCACCGTCAGACCAAAACTAGTACATATTAACAAAACTTTTTAAAAGACAGACCTCACTTTTACATATGTTCCCTCAATGGATCTAGAGGCTTCTTTGTGTCTATGTTACTAACTAAACTGGAATGCCTCTGAGATATAGCATGGGGCCCCAATTTCATTCTTCTGTCACAGTGCTCATGTTAAAAACCATTCTAGATCCTAGGTAAGTAAGTTTCCTAATGTCACTAGGAGAAAAAAAATATTATATCCTTTTAAGAGATGGGTAATCAGAAAGATAGGAATTACTTTTACACGGGCTCGAATATATTCTGATTAGAACACATCAGAAAAATACTGCATGGGTTATACAAATATATTTTTGTTTTTAAATTGATCTTCATAACCATAAGAGCCAGACCCTTTTTGTTTTCAATAGAAAGCTTAGATTCTGCAGAATTCTGCAGAATTCTGTTAAATGGCTTCTGTCTGGGCAAGTTTCCTATTGGCGATATGTGAGTAGGCTACTGGATTTTCAAGCCCTGTTGACAAGCCTTTAGGAAAATGAGTTTTGTAATTTAAAGTGGGCCAAGTAACTTTTCTGTTAGTCTAGGGACATTCACTACACGTTAACTAGTTTAAGTTGTCAGAAACTGGTTTAAACCTGTAACAGAACAGATGTTCAGTATATATAAAACAGTTTGAAAATGGCTGAAACCAGTTTGACATAAACCTGGTTGAATGTAGTATCAGACTTAACTGATTTGGATCAAACCGATTTATGCAATGTCTGTCCCAGACCCCTTGCCAGCTTAAGTTAAACCAGATTCCCCCAGCATCCCAGCATGTTCGCTGGGCTGGGCTCTCTGCTCCACAGTAAGGTTGGCACCTCCCCTCTGCTTCCTGGCTAGAGCTCTGGCAGAGACTGAAGCCGTCTGCCTGCTCTCCCCCTCCCCCCCGACTCCCTGCTAAGCAGGGGTTACTCCATCCCTTCTGCCTTACACAGACACACAGCATTAGCTAGCAGACCACATGCTGGCTATGGTCCCTGCTGTGGCAGGTGGCACAAAGGCAGCATCAACAGGTAGCTGGTAATGTCCCTCTGCTGTTTTCTTAATGGGGTGATAAACACTGAGTTAGGGGTGATAAACACTGTGTTATCAATTCCCTGCTGGGCTGGTCAGGAGGGGAGGGAGCCCCTCCCTAATCAGAGTATCCTGCCAGGGCCTGGCCACACCCCCCTCAGCTCAGTACTATGGAAGGGAAGGGAGGGCTGCTTTAGCCAGAGCCACTGTACGCATGTGCCTGCATTTTTTCAGTCCAAAGGGGATGTCTTTTTGGTTACAAACTGGTTTAGCCTAGCCAGGTTAGACTAACCTGCAAAGATTGAATCAATTCAGGCTCAGGCTTTTTGAATGTCTGTCCCTAGCCTTAGTGGCCAGGAGATCATGCAGCTCTCAGCAATATTGGAAATATAACAAGGTCAAATTTTAACAGGGATCAACTGTTTGTGAGCAAGTATAAAATTTAAAACAGCCAATTTTTTTTCTTTAGCATCAGGAATACATGTTTTTCTACCCATTTTTAGTTCTTCGACTGAGATTCTTATTGTGAACAAGGCAAGAGAAAGCCACCCCTCATTCCTTCCTATGTCTCTGTATAGCAGTATCTTGGTTTAGGAATTCATGTATCTATGGTATGTTTTGAAACCACCTTTTAAGGTTTCAGTTCGATAGACTGACCAGAACAATTTGCATTTTGCCAATGGTAACTTTGGCATTAATTGGCATTGATTATCTTCACCTTGATGGCTGAAAGATCCAAAAATGAACACTCGGTGTCCCAGTTGCTTTCATCAGCCCAAACAGGTTGATGAAGAAATATCCTCATAGGGTTGTAAATGCATAATTTACACCCTCTTCCAAAACATGTAGCTCTCACTACCGTCAAAGAGTAGACAAGATAGACATTTGGCCCTCCCTCGTAGAGCAATTCTTGTGTTCGTAGTAAAGAATTTCCAGATGTAGGGATTTCTGGTTGTAGCCATGTTAATCTAAGTACATAGACAGGCAGGCTTCTTTGGGTAGATGTGATATCTTTTATTAGACCAACTGAGTAGTTGGAAAGAAGTTCTTTCCAAGCTTTCGGGCACAAGCACCCTTCTTCAAGCATAGGGAATCTCACTGTTCTGAGACCTCGATCTCAGAACTTCTTTCCAACTTCTCAGTTGGTCTAATAAAATATATTGGATCTTCCCAAAGAAGCTTGCCTCCCAGATTTAGGAAAGCACCATAATTTCATATTGCTGCAAAACAGCATATCTGTTTCCTTTCTTTAGAACATAGCTTTCTTCAGCATCAACTATGTTCCAGGTTCCTCTGCAAAGCTAGTCCAGGATTCTGAGGAGAGATGACCTTGGAGCCAACAATGTACAGATCACAGTATAGCTAAGCATATGAAATTCACACACAAACCAATTAGGAATTTCAGTCCCCAGATCCCAATATCTAAAGTAAAAGCACCATTTCAGACCCTATGATTATTATTCGGATGGGTGAAGTTAGGCAGGCTAATCTAGCAGTGTTTTAATAAAGAGTTTGCAAAGAACAAAAATATTCTACAGCTTGTTGTAAGAAAAATTAAAACTGTACTTGCTAGCGTGTGCCTTACTGAGGACACCCATTCTGCCGCACAGTAACTAATAGGAAGGGAGAAAGGAAGAGAGAGATCTACTCAGGCAATAATTTTGAAGAGCAGGAATAGGCCCCCAAGTTTTTATATAGGCTGCTGAGATTTATCATGTTGGAAAGGGAAAGTTACATGTGTTGCAGCATTATTGATGTTCATTACTTAGTGGAGAGAATCTAAGACAGAGCTGGCACTCATCTGGTCCCCCTGATCCAGCACAGGCAGCACCCACCAGGCCAGTCCAGGGTGCTACCCTGAGCAAGCACATCCTGGGACCCAGCTCAAGTGAGTGCCGTGGGCAGCAAATGTCCTGGTCACTGCGTGCTTGGATGGTCCAGCACAGCAAAAGGGTCAGCACCAGAGGCCAGTTGGCCTTTGGGCCATATGTCTGACACCCCAGTCCTAGGATAAACACATAGTGGCTTTTGCTGAACAAGATACCTTTTTGCCTGTTTAGCCTCTGGAAGAACCTCCCACCCCCAATCTTGTGCAGTCCTTAGGGCTGTGGCTCCCAACCTCGGGTCGCAACCCAAATCAGGGTTGCAGGAGGTCCACTGCTTGCTCCACCCCTGCCACCTGTGGGGCTCTCCCAGCGCATAGTCTGTGCAGCTCTCGCTGCCAGTGCCCCCTGTGATCCCAGTCCGGTGCAGGCTCTGCTGGTGCGGTCGGGCATGAGCGAGTCAGCAACAGGAGCAGGGGCAGGGGTCACAACCAGGATTTAGGGTTGCAGCAAAAAAAGGTTGGGAGCCACTGCCTTAGGGTTTGTAGATTTTGTGCTATATCTTACCTTTTCGTTACAAACTATTCTTAAAGTTCTTTTCAAGGAGAAGTAGCTTCAGATACAGAATAAAATCCACTGAGTGGCTTAGTTAATGCAGCGCTGAACTTTTAAAAATGTTTACCCTTTGCTAAAGTTTCAGTTGCTTACACCAAGGCTAAATTTAGACTTCAGACTAATGGGAAGTGAAAGATAAGCGATATAGTTGATATTATTTCAATTCTAGTAAGCTATTAAAGGTCAGTTTGAGAGAATGGTGTGACACCATTCTGTTTACAAGTTCCATGTCATGTTTTCTTTAAAGTAGTTGCAAGTCATTTCAAGCAGAATAAAAAATACTATACATGTTATATGTGCTTCCATTGACAATATACAGCACTTGTCAACCATGAATGTTAAGTCATTATGGTTACTAATCACTGCAGGCAGTGTTAAGTTATGTAGACAGCTTGATATTTAGATATTGGGACTGGGAGGGGGCATTCCTAAATCGGGGGGAGGGGGAGGAGGGAGTGGGGAGTTGTTTGTTTTGGTTTTGGTTTGGTTTTATTTACTTGAGAAATGTGACAGTTACAATACAGTTTGTTATTATTTGATTTTATTTTTTTAGTAATCAAATACAGTATTTACATGCTAGATCAATTCTATTTGTGCAACACACTAGTGACACACAAAAGGACCTTTTCTAAGCAGTGCTCTGGGAATTGAGCTCTGTGTAGCAAGGCTGGAAGCCACATCTTACCTAGCAACTGTTTCTAAGTAGGACAGCCTTTGACTGCCCTGGTGGTTGAGTGGATGAATCCTGCAGCACCACCAGGAAGAAAGCCTAAACTCAGCATGTGGAGCTCTTGGAGGAGAATTGCAGAAAGCGTGGGGAACATGCAGCTAATAGAAGAAAGGGTTCTCAGGCCCAGGAGCAGTGCCAGGGAAGCTTAAGTCAGGGAATGCTGAGGGGCTTTTTGAGAGAAGAAATGTGAGTAAAGGAAAAACACTAGCATCCTAGGAAAGGGTGGTAGAGGCCCCATACCTTAGGATAGGATTCATGGATGTCTGTGAGAAAAGCCAGGAGCTGGCATGAGGAGGGAAAGCTAGAGTAATGAGAGAGTTAAGAAGGTATAGAGCACATGCACATGCACTATCATACCAGTTGGGAGAATGGCCACTGTCAACCAGAGTGTCAGAAAGATTGTTTAAGTACACAGTTTTCATCTTTAATAGAAGCTAAACATTTAATTCCATGTGCATTCCCTTGAAAATGTTTGTTAGGGGTGTAAATTCCCTTTCCCATAAGTGATTTCATACTGAAATCTATGTGCATCCCACGGCAAATTTAGGTGGCAAATCCGTGGCTTTAATGTCTGGATGTATATTGTATGTATTAAAACCCTACAGAATACTTTAGCAGCCATGGATTTTAGGGGCATTTGGTTTATCAGGACTAGATAAACAAGAAATACATACATCATACTGGACTTGCCATCTTGTTACAGCTGTGATGAAATTCCCCTTTCTTTTGATTTCTCCACCAGATGAAGGACTGAACCATGAATGCAAACTCTGCAATCAGACATTTGACTCTCCTGCCAAACTTCAATGCCACCTGATAGAACACAGCTTTGAAGGAATGGGGGGCACTTTCAAATGTCCAGTCTGCTTTACAGGTAGGAGGCCAAGTTCAGTATGTTTCCTTGTCATGCCCTTGCCTACGCATGCAGTTTCCAGTTTAAACGGCCTTTAGGATTTATGTTGTGTTTTGACATTAGGCCAGTTTGGGAGGGAATATTAGATTTGTGCTCATTAGTAATATTGATTAGAAAATATTTAAGAAGTCGGGGCTGTTGGAAGGTCAGGCATCCATCTGCATGAACTGCATTTCAAGCCTGTGCATCAGAAGTTTGCATTTTTATAATTGCAAAACTGATAGTCTGTTCAGTTCCTGCATATCACATTCATCACCTCATGCTCCAAACTTCCCAAGGTTAAAAGTACTCATAAAGATGTGCTTTAAAGTTGTAGACACTTAAAATGCTGTAACTGGGAAGGGGTGCAGTGGCACAGCACTTAAAATGTCTTGCTACAAATCCAATGGTATGAATTTGAACCTTTCTCCAAACTTATGCCAAAGGTTGCCACATGCAAATCATTCCCCCGCTGACTCGGCTGTTAATGGGCACCGGTCATCTGGCCTGGTGACTCAGAGGCAGCCAGATGTAAATGCTGGCTATCCCATTCTTTTATGTGCCCTTGGCCATAGTAATTGGCATGTCTTAAGCATGGTAGCCCCCTGGGTTTATCAGGTTCAGGTGGATTAAAGATGTTAAGTGTAACTGAGAGCGGACCTTGGCCCCAGGGAAGGATGACTGGTTATGGTCTCAGAAGCACACTAACGCCTTTTCCTTTGAACCAGCAACAACACTCCAGTTCAGTCTGGTTGCCACCTAAAAAGGAAGGCCTTCATAATATGCTTTAGGGAGTAAATCCTGCAGACTTTTCATAAAAGAAGTTCTGCTCTCCATTACACAGGCCTAAAATTGATACAATTGTTCAGGTTGGTATTGTTGTTCACTGGGTTAGATCCAGATGAGATAATAGCCTGACCCAGGAGAACTAGGAACTGTAAGATTTGGCCCATCACGAGTAACAAAAATGTCGTGTATATAATTTATCCCCAGATCATCCTTGGAAATGAAAACACATTAAAAGGGTGCTGGCAGACTTTTAAACAAGGGTAATAGGATGCATAATAGAATGTTTTATAAATTATACCCTGAAGTAAGATATGTATTAGTACTTATCAATGCGTAATCTTGCTTTACAAGGTGAAAATGTGAGATTTACAAAACTATAGGAAAATATGACAAAACACACTTTGGGTATTCTCCCATCAATAGCATGCTAATTTTGGAAACCATTCAGGGTTTCTGTTCTCCACTAATGGGAGTTAAGCATGTGCATTGATAGGCAAATAGACTCCTTAATACTTTCATTTTATTCCTCTTTGTTTGCCAGCTCTCCTCCAAATAAAATCTAAGTACACCCTGCAAAGGAAAATTAAAGTTGAATTTTTCTTCTTGCACATACAGTGGCTGGCACTGATTACCTCACTGTATTCAGGTTCCACATTTCTGTTGAGTTATAAAATTTAAAAAAATACATAGTTCATTTTCACTGCACAGCTTGCTGTAGCACTGTCTGAGTGTGGATAGTTCTGCCTTCAACAGTTTGCCTGTTAGGCATCTGCGTTCAATAATTCTTTCAGTAAGGCTGTTCTTTGTCTTTTAGTTTTATTATCGATTCTGCTAGGCTTTTTCTTGTCTTTGTGTACAAATTTGTAAGGAGGTAATTTTCTTTTACTGTAATACTGTATGTCTTAGGGTTCCAAGAGTTTAATGATGACAAGTTTTTTGGGGGGTTTAATGCAGTATAAAAACTAGCATCTCTAAAGAGTACCCACTGATGATTCTCCATGTGAGTGAGATCCCTGATAAAAATAATCCTTTAATGTTTGAACCAGTAGCCTTGTAAAATGTGTTAAGAAGTATGGAGATAAGTCGATTCCAATCTGTGTGAAACCCTTTTTCCTTTTTGCTGATGGGGTAAATAGACACAGAGCATTAATCATAAACAATGGTGTTTTATTAGCTATACACTATTAAATTATTTCAGTGCGTCTTGCTAGCATATTAACAAGAGCTAAAAATCACCAATATAATTTTATATGGAAAATGGAATCTGAATAGTTTTTTAAGGTAATGAGAAATGTGATTAAAATGTATGACTCACAAGAACAATATTCTGATATTTCTTGTTGGCTTGCAATTAGAATAATTTTAATGATTAGGAGTGGAGTCAAAGTCAAATGCCAGCATCTTTAATAAATCCTTTCCCTGCCTATACAGATTAATATTGTAGATGCAAACTTTTTTAGGTCACAGTGCACCAGGCATCCATCAGAAGTCAGTGCTGCCAACCCAAACACTGCCTCTGGCATATACAATTTAATTATTAATAGTATGTCTCCTAGGTAAACTGTTACACAGTCTTAGGGCCTTGTTTTGTAGTCATTAAAATTGAACATGTTTATATTATTGAAACCCTTGCATTCAGTGTGTAGGCAGAGTTGATCTTAAAGTATCCAAAGAGAATTTACCTGCAGTTCTGTTTCACATTTATAGACATTGCCCCAGAGTAGCTGTGGGATATAATTTTTAGCATTAACACATTTAAATACAGAACTGTTCGTTAGTTTTAACTTTAGGCAAATAGAGTAAACAGGGCTTTGGCACTTTCCAGACCTCTTGGTTGCTAGGAAATATATCATATATGTTCATTCTTAGTAAATTATACTTGATGACTTTTGGTTCATTACAAATAATTTGCAAGAGAAAATGGCATTTCTCAATCTTTATTTTTTAAATTATATTTTTGTTTTATTTGGCTCTTCTTATAATTCTAGTTTGATTCCTATAGATATTATATTTTATAATTATCTATAGTTATATATAGATAAAATATAGGAACAGAACATATCTGTTCCTTTTAAATGTAATAGAAAAAGAGTTTCATTGGGCATGTCTACATGAGACACTTAATGTGCAGTAAACTAATTCTACTGCACATTAGTGTGTCACAGGAAAAATGTGTTAATGCACAGTAGAATTAGTCTGTTGTGAATTAAGCATCACAAAAAGATTGCGCTGTTGCTACTACATATTAGTGCCAGCTACTGCACATTTATGTAGTATCTCATATTAGAGGTACTAAACTTAATGCACGGTAGCAACAATGCATTCATGCACGTGTAGATGCACCCACTATGTAGTTAAACAGGGTTTTTGGTGTCCCTTATAACATAACTGTAATATGAAATTACAGTGTACCAACTTCACTTTACCTTTTGGAATTGCTGTGTGTTAACAGGGAAATATTTACAAAAGCCTCCCCATTTATAAAATGCAATAATGAAAAGTTCACTGTCATTCTAATATTTCAGTGTTTGTTCAAGCAAACAAGTTGCAGCAGCATATTTTCTCAGCCCATGGACAAGAGGACAAGATCTACGACTGCACACAGTGTCCACAGAAATTCTTCTTCCAGACAGAGCTGCAGGTACCGTACCCATTACCGTACCCACTTCTACTAGAGTGTTAGTACCTAGAATAGTGGAACTGGAAATTGTATATTCTGCCCCTCCTGGCAGTCAGCAACTAAGGACTGGCATAGAAAAGTTGGGATGGAAAAATGTAAACTACAGAATGCATTTGCTGGCTTTACTTATATTTTGCTGCTGGTGAATCCAAATGTCCAGTAATATTAAACTCAACAAGAATTGCATAATTGCATGTGTTAATTGTCCTTTGTTTCTAGTACATCATTTATAGGCTGTATAGTATCATTTCTTATAATTGAAGAATAGGTTATAGAATGGAGCTAAATTTTGTACATCTTCTGAAAAGAAATTTGAGTCAAAGAATGGCTTGTTTTATACTAATTTTTATTTCCTCCATTTCTCCTGAAATGGACCCTTACCTGGCTAGTACTCCTGAAAGAAATTGTTAGGTTTGGAAAGGTCAGAGTAAGAGTTCCAATTGTTCATCAATGATTTGAGTTTACATTTGAAGGACAGGATGTGGTGACAGAGGCAATCATTTGGAAGTCAAAGTTGAAAGATTTCGGTTTGCTAAAAGGTGATCGGTACTGCTAAAGCACTGAATATATTTTTCAACTGTGATGTTTTTCTTTGGGGTTTTTTTGTTTGTTTGTTTGGAAGACTGCGGTGCAAATCCCTCTACTTGAAGGAGTTCACAGTTTGTGTAGCATAGACTATTGTCCTTGAAAACCTGGCTGAGCCGCCGGTTAATTTCACTTCTGGCCAGAGCTAGATTTATGCTAGTTATTTGAGGCAAGAGGCCATGCACATGTGTGTGGTGTGTGTATGCATGCTTGCGCACTCATTTGGTATGTCAATTATTGAAACATTATCATCTTAAAAATCTGACATTAATACTCAGGATAATGTCAATTATTTCTTATGCGGAAACAGAAATTAGATTTTCAGTGCTTACTTTGGGTATCAGTGTGTTGGATGAAAGATTGATATTCAGATCTATCATATTGTATTTCTTGTGTTGTATTTCTCTTTATGTATTTGTGAGGGAGATTCTTTCTCTCTTTCTGTGTGTGTGTGTATGTGTCTGTATGGTTTAACAGTAGTCCACATTAAACAGAGTGTCAGTCTTAACTTTTAACTTCCTAGCTTTTGTTAACATGAGGCCAGGAACAGATGGATTGCATTGTTCTGGGTTTGATCCAAAGTACCATCCCCTTATTCCATAACCTTATTGAAATCATACCTCCTCCACTTCCCTCTGTTTGTGAGCCCCACAAAATCGTTGCGCCCAGTATCCCCACCTAGGATACTGCTTCTGAGCCTCACTCAGATTTTGATCACTTTAGGTAGCTTAGTCTATTGTCATGTATGGTAAAAAATGATGAAAGAAAGAGGAAAAAGAATAAGAAGAAAGAAAGACATTTGAATAGCAAAACCAGCAAAAGGTTTAGGAAAAACTGAACAAGTAAGCAGATAACAGAGATGTATAATGAATAGCAATGTAGGCATTGGTAAAAGAGAGAGATCATAACAACACTTCCCCTCTGCCTACTAATCCACCTCTCTAGAAATATTTTTACATTTCCAAATACAAATAGCCTCAAACTCTACTTTCCTTTTTTATTAAAATTAAATCAAATGCTGTTTTCTTTCTCAAAATTCACACTGACTTAAGGTTCAAGATACGGCTTTTGTGGCTCTTTCTAATCCTGACCCATTTGAACTCACACTCACTGGCCGCATCTACACAAGACACTACTGTGCAGTCATTACTATGCATTTACTTAGCACTTGTATAAATAAGTATTAAATAAATGCACAGTAACCCGAGTTAATGCGCGGTAGTGCCAAGTAATGCCTTTTTTGTGATGCTACTGCGTAGTAGCGTTACGTCCTGGTTTTTGCCATACGATGCTACTGCGCAGTATTATCGGGCTACTGCACAGTCAGCGTCTCGTGTAGATGCACCCACTAAGACTGCTGGTTTTTCAGTAAAGGGTGCAGACCCAAATCCCCAAAAAGAGGCACATTACACTTAGTAATGGCTGTCAACTCACTTTAAGGGAGCAGTGCCCTTTAATAGACAATATCCTTCATTACCCCAGAGACGACACATCTACACGTAGAATTAGCACAGCCAAATGAATTCCGGCGCAGTTTGTGCTGGAGTTAATTGCTTCTGGGCACAGCATTTACACATGCTTCCGGGGCCACAGCGCATTGAGCTGATCGGGGGGGGGTCAGCCTGGCAGCCTGGAGCTGCTTTGCCCCAGCTCAACGTATTGCAGAGGGGCTGGCTGAAGGATGGGGGTACTACAGTGCAGGACTAGCCATTAGGCAGCCCACACTGTAGCATCCTCACACCCCAGCTAACCCCGGACGCCAACTACACATGTGTTCTGGTGCACTAAATAACTCCATCATAGATTAGTACTTGTGTCAGGCAGCACTATGGCAGAGTTCATTAGTTTTCTGCAGCCTAATAGTGCTGCACATGTAGATGGTGACGCTTTACTGAAGAGCTAATTAGGCAGCTCCACAGTAAAGCAAGTATGTAGATGCACCCACTGTCTACAATGTGCTTTTAATTCAGACTAGTTTACCTGAGTTTTCTGACTTGGGTTAGAATATCAGCAACGAAAAGACAGCTTGGGTATTAATTTGAACTAGCAGCTCAAATTAAAGTCTAAAAAAGCCAGGGGTTGACTAATCCAAGTTAAAACCCAAATTACTTTGTCTTCATTCCTGTTTTAATCCAAATTGTTAGCTAACAAGTTAAAGAGTACACCCTTTTCCCCTTCTGTCCATCATGCCATCTGCGTTTGTCTGGAATGCTCCTTCAGTTGTCTGTCTTCAGCTGAAACGGGGATAGGACACTCTAGGTGGCAGACCCTCACCTCCAGAGTCTGCTCTTGCTGAAAATATGTCAAAGCAGGAGCCTGACCTCATTTAAAATGCATTCTAGGATGTGTCTCTTTGTTCAGGCCATCCACTAGCTGCAGGCTCTGGAATCCTTGGCATTTAGCCTACTGGTTATGTTTTCTCTATTGCTGTCCTTTAATGTCCTCGTAGTGTGGGTATTAGGGGGAGGGGAGCTCCTAATGTATTTGTTAACTATATTTAGGACCAGTTCTTTTGCTTTTAATCTGCAACATGTAAACTGCACCTACCAAAAGTGACAAATGCTAATCATGTCATTTTAAATTATCTGAACTACTGGACAGAGCCCAGATGCTGTGGTGATAAAGCTGATGTAAGAACGTGAATAGAATAGGATTAAATAAAATGGAATATATGCCACACAGATAGAAGGCTTCTATACGCATATAACAATAGTAATCATTTAAAGGAAGTGAATGCTGGATAAAGAAAACATGTGTATTACAAGGATTCATAGATTTCATAGACATCAGGGCTGAAAGGGACCTCGGAAGATCATCGACTTCCCCAGGGGCAGGAAGTCAGGATGTTGTCCTATAACCTGGTGGGTCTGGAACTTTTAGTTTTTTCCTTTTGATTTTCTATTTCCTGTTGTTTGCAGCCTGGAAGAGCAGGATGCATGAAAATAAAGGCACCTACATTTTATACTTTCTCCCTCAGGAGATTACCATCCCCACAGATCCTGTTCTTGTCAAAGAAACCAAGACTCATTTTAGAAGCTTCTATCTCAGCCTGCTTCTCAACCACCCAGAATATCCACTCCTAACAGAACAGGCCACTTCAGTGGCAACACCTCATGAGCTGGGGAGTAAATCACCAGTACTGAGACCCCAATATGGAATGTGTTTTCCAGTTATCATATTGAAATAATATTAAATGAAAATAACTTCACTTCTGGTTTTTGGGCCCTCTAAGGCCTGCATAAGCTTTTCAACAAGAGTAATGATAATATTTAATAAATTGTTCATATTGCTGAAAGGTGAAGTAACTTGCATATGGTCTCTCATGAGTCAGTGGCAGATCTCAGAAGAGATCCCTGGTACCCAAATGCTAGACAAGTGCTTTATTCACCAAAACTTTCTGACCATCTGCTTGTTAAACAAATAGCTAGCATAGTGTAGGTGGGCTTCATAGAAACACTCAAACCCTAATTTCAATAACCTCAACAGACCTCCATTTTCCCACCCCTGCCAAAAGCATTCTTCTTCTGTTGAGAAATAGGTTTTAAAGTGTTTGCTGGTGTTGTGCTGTTATTGAGGGGAAAAACAACTTTTAACTTTGGGATACTGTATTTCTCTGGAGAGGAAACAGATCTGAAGGTTCTGTTATGGAGTTAGAAAGGTATGTTTGAAGAGGCCTCTGTGTTGGCAACTTACAGGCACAAGCCTTCTATGAGATCCTAAAGTCTATGTGGATTTTTTATACTATTTAAGTGAACTGACATTGAAAAAAATAGCTACAGTATTTACTCATTTAAAACCTAATCATTTTAATAGTGCTCACATGCTTAATACAATCAGGATGTTTCAGAAATAACATTCTAATGTGATTTTAAAATGAAACCTATCAATTTAGACATCAGGTGAGTTAACAGATTATAACCTAGTTGCTCATAAAACTGCATATGCACATCCTAAAAACTAAAAGCCTCACAATTCTAGCTCTCAAGATAGGAGTATATGGCTGCATTTATCTGCATAAGGGGTGGGTAACGTATGCCCTGTGGGCTGGATCTGGCCCATCAAGGCTAAGTACAGACATTCAAAAAGCCCAAGCCTGAATTGATTCAGTCTTTGCAGTTTAGTCTAACCTGAGCAGATTGAACCGGCAAGCAAGTGAATAGACATTCACTTTGGATTCTAGAAATGCAGGCACATCCCTGCAGGGGCTCAGGCTAGACACTAGGTGTAATAGAGTGAGCCCTCCTTTCCCTTCAGCAGTGGCCAGAAGGCTAGATGGAAGCTGAGGTGGGGTGGGTATGGCCAAGCCCCAGCAGGCCACTGAGTATGATTGGGGAGGGGTTTAAACCACCACCCTGGCCTATAGGGACCCCAGCTGG